TGATTCATATTTACGAACATATTCCGAAATTTATCAAAATTATTGTAACTAAACATTCCATTAACATTATACTCCACCAATCCATATTTAATTATTTTTATAAAATTTAATATGTAATAAAAATTTAGATATAGATTATACTATAATATTAAGTCTTATAGTAGGTGATGATAAATTACACAACACGATATATTGTATAAACCAATATGTATGATTATTTATTCTTTTACTATATAATAAAACAAAAACTCATTATATTAATATATTGTACTATAAGATGTTTTTGTTTATACTATTTGAACTGTTTGTATTTATATGTTATATAATTTTAAATATACTAGTACAGTATACTTTTGAAAATATACTATCGAGTATAAATTTTTGAATGACCCCGATCCTTGTAAAATATAATAATAAAATGCAATAGTCAAAAAGATTGTGAAATGTTTGAATAATAAATATTCTTGTTCTGATGGATTTTGTATTAAAAAATTTCGTCTAAAATTATCTGTGACGAAACTAAAGGTATGTATCCAATATTAATTAACTCTGACGGTAAAGATGTCTATAAAATGTCAATATTCCGTTGTATTATGACAATTTTGGAAACAAACACGAATACGTTTGTAAAAACGGTACGACAAACACTATATACTCATTAAATATTGATAGAGTATGTGTATGTGATAGATTATCGCATAAAAATATTCGTACATAATATACCAACGTGTGTAAAAAATAAAATTATATAAATATTGACAAACAGTATATACTCATTAAATATTGATGATAGAGTTTATATAGAGATATAAATGTCGACAAAATATATAAGAAGTAGTTTTATTGTATACTACGTGTTTGACCAATTGCCTATAATATGATAACAACAACAATACCGTATTTAAAACTTCAATACCAATGTTTATCGTGTTTGATAAAATATTAAACCGAAAACAATCGGTACGCATTATACGCTAACAATGAATATTGAAAATATGGTATTATACACAAACGTATTGCAATTTATATCAAGGGTGTGGAGACAGGGAGACTTTGAGTACTTATTTGATGTTTAGAATTAAATATAAAATTGATACGCTCGATAACCCGATACATTATTATATAAAAATATTATCCAGTATTATGAGTATATAATACTTATGTAAAATAATTTTCATCAATATCATTTATTCATCAGACCTCGACACGCATTAAAAGATTTCAAACTGGAATCCAAGGACAAACACGATGTATTTAAATTTTTATGGGAACACACGGATAAAATATTATTTGACATTCCAACTATGGACACTATAATGATGTTGATGTTATTATTCACCAAAATTTTAATTATACAGTGTATTGACGATCCTGACGACAGAAGAATCATCACCGCTAACTGGACGGGTTCGTATATAATAAATTATATATGCAATAACGATGAAAAGTTTCATACAATATGCGAAAAAATATTTGACGATCCTCGGGGTTCATTTAAACATTCCATTAAAAATATATTAAAAAAACATAAAATACCCATCGCCATATCAACGAACGCGAATAACGATTCGGAATCATTATGTAAATGGGTGCGATTCAGATATTTTGGAAAAATGAATAAATTATGCGCAGACACCCGCGGAATGATATCGGATAAAATCGACGACTATTTAAAATGTAAAAACTACAATATTGACGATAGACATAAAATTATATTTGAAATGTGGGTTGTTATCAATTCAACATTCGGCAATATAAAGAATACCGATGTATACACGGAATTGGAATTGATAAAAATACAGAGTATCGTAACGGAAAACAACGCAATAGATGTATTGCGTAAAATACGCGCCAAACTCAGATCAAACGAAATAATCGCAATAAACGATGATAATATATCATCGTTTATGGACGTCGATTTGTATAATATGACTTTAAAAATCGTTAATGATATGTGTGCCAGTATCGGGAGCAATAAAAATAAAAAATATATACAAATTTAAATTACGTCATTATATTTTTTTTTTTAAAAACATTTTACATTAAACAATAATAATTATCTATAAACCATTTAAACGTCGCCGCACACTGCCCGACTATACATTTACTCTGGGTATTTTCGTCCATCCCGTGTATTGTGCAATACAATTTATTAAAGTCGTATTTGGATTTAATCTCGTCGTACGATAAATATCCAGGTAAATTTTCTCCCTCTCCTTTATCGGCAAGATCCCGGGCAATTTTAGTAGTAATATTGTACACCGGCGGATGTCTGGAAAACATATCGTTCATCTTGTCGATAATTATTTTGCGTTTTAACGATCCACGTAGATATATACTATCACATTTCAATAGTGGAGATATAAATTCGCGGATTTCCGTCCAATGCAATGCGCCAATCTTGTAGTCTAATCCATGACAATTGGTTTTCGTATATTTATAAGTGATATTGGATTTGTAATCCAGAATCAAGTTTGGAAATTTAAACGTAGAATGATTATCGTATACCGGTTCGCGGGTTTCTTTCGAAAAAATTATTAAACATATTTCGTTGATAAAATATTTATTCCCACTGTGCGCGACATAATGAAAATCTACAAAAGCGTCCATTAGTCTCGGCGGGTAAAAGGTAAATGATACATTTATAGAACATTTACCAATTTATAAGAGAGATGTGTTGTTGTCTTTGTTCTCTGATATGTTTCTACCTAACATTGTTTATATTGATTTTACTAGCAATAGGATACGGTACTGGAAAATTTGACAAATTATACGAATTGATTTTTAAATAAAATCACAATTTTATTTTTTTTTTATTTGAAAGATTGTAACACGAGTTTTGCGAAACCAAATTTACATACAATATTATCGGGTATGATTATAACATCGGATACGATTAATGCGAGGTTAGCGCGTGGCGGTCGCCCGTCAATGTCCATTTTTACGATTTTCACAGATGTATTGATCCCGAATCCATACACCACTCGATCCGCTTCCGGTTGGCTGACCATTGAGATCCCAGTATCGAATTCAGTAGACCCAGATATATACATTTTATATACGTCCAACATGCTAATTTTTTCACCAGTGACGCGATTGGTAAAAGAAAATTCCCAAAACTGTATCCGGGGCGAGCCATTGATGTAAGGTTTAAAATATTTACAAGAACCAGGGACTTCTCTATCGCATATATCGGTCATTGACGAAATCAGACCCGAAGAGTATTTCCGGAGGGTTTCAAACGCAAACGTGGAAAAATTGCCGGCCGACGATCGACGAAGCGACATCTTGTAAAAATCAATTATCGATGGAAATCCTTCCATATTCAAATATATGTCTGTGTATTTGGCGCTTTTCTTCGCGTGTTTCGAATCCAAACACCGTATATCGTCGTATTTAAAACCCTCGGTCCAGGCGTATGTTGCGAGCGAAGATTCGCTAAACACAAACGAAACCAAATCCGTAAAACTTTCAACCCGATCGGTGGATTCCATTAAATCTTCCGCGGGTATGGATCCGATAAATTTGATGGATTTCGATATGGAATCGAGGAAAGTTTCAACACAAAACCCGGCACGCGTAAATTCCACAATTTGATCAGCCATCGTACGAGAGTCTGTGATATTGAAACCCGGGCGCGTCGCCTATAGTTATAGATTTCAGACGGGAATATATAAACCCGACAATTAACGCGATCAGCAACAGAAATCCGTAGTGAGCGTATTTCAAAACGCCTTCTATGAATGTCCCGAATCCAGTGACAGCGGTATTTATATCGTCGAATCCCATGCTCAGAGCGTCCGTTAAAATGGTACCGACACTCGGTGGTTCGACGCATGACACGCTTCCGCCGGCCGCAACTCCCATTAATCGGTCTAAAGCGCAATTCTGGCAAATGGATTGCGATTTATGCGCCGACGATCCGGCGCCCGCGACATTATTCCACCCGGAACATGGGTCGCTCGTTGTATATTTTACGTTACCACAGTCTTTCATTAGCGAACCACTCAATTTATAAACCGGGTCACATGTGGCATCTGTGAGCTTACACGCCCCGAACCCACGCGGCTTTGTCCATATACAACCAGAGATTTCGTTATTATCGCATATCGTTTTAACCATGGCTTTGAAAAAAACATATCCCGTCCCAGTGACGCCTATTATCCCGGCCGGTAGTAATATACGATATTTTTTACCCGCGGACTTTACCTCGGCGCCCGGGCGATGAGTCTCGCTCAGATATTTGTATATCCTATCCATAGACTCGCGGTATCCATTGGAGTTTTCCAATACCATTGATAACAATCTATCATACGAATCGACACTTTCACGCATAAACGCCGCATTGTCTACGACACTATCTATGTGCGACGATGTAACGACATTGTTTCTAATTAAACTGGATAAATGTTCGGGGATTTCCTTGTTGAATTTTAATTTGTATATCTGTCCCACGGTGTCGAGTATATGGTCGGCGGATCTACTTGTCGACATGGCGATACTCTTCCCGTTTATATTTATGCGTCCGGGTCCTATGGGTTGAATCGAATGTAATATTTCGTCGAGTTCTATAAAATGATTGTTCAAGACTTTGGAGCTCGCGGACGCGTGTCCCGCGTTTTTAGACAATTCTCCAGCTGTTTTTCTCAGGGCATTGATTACAAACATTTCTTTATAATATATACACTCCCGGGTATTGTTTAGCTATCAAATTGAATTTTCCAAAAATACATTTATCTTTGCCAGTGTACACACAATTTGGCGAAATTTAATACACTGTCGGATACAATATAATTCAATACATAGGTCAAGGAAACGTATCATATTATCAACACACGTCTAACCTAATCTACGACTACTTTTACACTGAATCCATTAACCAATCAGAATCGAGTATTAGTTTCCCCCTCCACATTTATTTCTGAATCTAGGTATAAATATAGCAGTAGGCTCGCCCGCGCGACAGTCTCTGTCCAGAGGTAGAGCAGAGAAGAGACTACTGAACGCTGACGTCGACTAAAAAAATAATATACTCTATAATCGGACCGTTTTCTGGGGTTTATAAATCTCCGAGATGCTCGTTAACAAAAAAAACAATTGAAATACATCAAAATGATTTATTGGCATATTATACAAAAAAAATATACTAGTGTAAATTGTATTTTAGACCGTTTTTAGGATTTACAAATCTTCGCAGGCGATCGACGAAAAAAAAACATTGAAATGTATACAAGAAAAATATATTAGTGTAATTTTAAAACTGTTTACATATTTAATAAAATAAAATCCGTATATTTACTTCGCGGACAATCGTTTTTGTACACATACTCTAGACAATCCAAATTGAACCAAACAATTGCGTTATTGTGTGTTTTCTCGTCCCATGGGCAGCCGTTTTCTCTAGCGTAACGAAGACATTCCAACGAACCGACGAACCCGGCCATCTCGCAAGTTTTCTCGTCCCACGGACACCCGTTTTCTCTGGCGTACCGCAAACAATCCAGCGATCCTCCTAACGCGGCTCTTTCACAAGTTTTCTTGTCCCATGGGCAGCCGTTTTCGTGAGCGTAACGCAAACAGTCCAAGTAGCCTATATACGCAGACAGTTCACATACTCTTTCGTTCCACGGACAACCGGTCTCGCGGGCGTATCGCAAACATTTCAGGTGACCGTTTTCCACGGCGGTCTGACACACGATATCCACGTCTGTATCGATCTCGAAAATATTTGATCTGACATACTTGCAACAGAGTCGTGTCGGGTCGGCGGTATAAGAAAACCCCGTTAAAATCTCTTTAAGCGTAAACACGTTGGAGTTTTCGTTTTCGTCCAATAATAAATAATCACACGCGTCTATTATTGGCTCTACATCGCATCGTTCAACAAAGGTTATACGTTCCAAAACTCCCGCGTCTTCGCAACGAATCTTCCATCGGATGTATTTTACTATCGTATCGAGCGTGTGGGAGTCTATATTCTTGAGGGTTATCTCGCTGTTTTGATTTTCCGAAAACGAATATACATTGGAGAACAACACATTCAACATTTTACTATGACTCGCTTCTCGAAGACTCACCAAAAACTCTACCCCGTCGCCGGAAATCATTTTAATCGCGGTGATAGAATCCATGCCGGCCGGTAGACTGGCGAATGGGGATGTAATTCGAAAAATTTTCGCGTTATATATACTAAACTATCGATAAAGCAAATCGTGTACAAATAAATGTAAATGACTAATGCGTTCGTACAAGCATATAATTATATTATAAATCAATTTTAACATTTACACTTGATTTTGCGTTTTAGTTGCGCTGGCTTTAAACAATATAAATATAATAGTTTTCGCAAAGTTGATTTTGATACTTTTTCATCGTTAGTATTTTTATTATCAGACATATTGGAAATTAATTAACTTATTCAAAATGACTTATTATAATTTTCTTCTCGGATCGCTTGTTTTATTTTTCTTAACCTTTGTCTATTATACGCGCGACAACATTCGTTGGAATTTTTTACGAACGATTCTGAAGAGACAATATACCACAGCTGTCGTATATTGTAAGATATTGTAAGACATTGTGTACATCGACGTCGAGTTGTACATTGTGTACGTCGACATCGAGTTGTACATTGTGTACATAAAGACATCACGTACAATCGTATATATTCGTCGACACCGTGTTTGTTCAATCTCGCGTTCATGATTCTACTCAATCCGGACGTTCCGATCTGTAACATGTACCGCAATCCCCAGTGACATTCGTAAGATACGGCGGTGTCGTATTCTTTGAATCCAAATACAATACCCGCTGCACTTTCCGACTGTATCATGTATTTGAAAAATTCCTCGCGATTATACTTTATCGCTAGCCTGCACAACTTTAACGTGAACGCATATTTTCCATATTTTTTTTTCGCCTTTTCCCCCATCAACGGTTTCGACCATTGATATATAATCTTGAAACATTCAAATTCGTTTAGAACAATGGCGCCGTAGATAAATTTCACGTAGAATACATTTACGGCTGTTTGAATAAATCCGACGTCGCGCAGATATTCCAGACACGGCAAATGATCACGTAATTTACCCCAGCTAACTGACCATTTTAAACTCGTGTAGTAAACCGTATTACGTAAACGCACGGTTTACTTTAATTATGTATAAATTGATAGTATTTCCATGACGCGGAGTGAATCATTGTACTTCGTACTTGTTTTTTTAACCTATTGGCATTGATCCTGTATGCGGATTCCATATTTATGTAAATTACTAAATTAGCTATTTTACGTTTTATCGTGTAAAACTAGGCACTTCTACACGTGAGCCAATCCCGTGGCTCTATAGAAATCACGCCATCGGGCATCTTTATATAAATATAGTAACTAAGTAGTCATTTAGTTAGAATTATTTTACCTTTAGCTTAATCCTCACGTAGTTCTCAGGCAGAGTAACCTCTGTCTTCAAAATATTTTTGTTAACTTTGTTAAATATACATATAATTTAATAATTATTATCAGTTTTGTTCTGCAAACCTTTTATTTATATCTATTCTACAATCAAGCCCAGCAGTAGACGTCGGACTTCGTCATTAAATAATTATGTACAAGTGTAGTACGAGAGCACTACATACGTACTTTGTGCAGGTGGGGTTTCTCGAGGAAAATTTTGATTTATCAAAAGTAACTTGGAACTCACTGACGAACTACGACGACTGCACGTGGGACGAGACAAAACTTTTAGTGGCGAGTACCTCAACCAACATCAGGCTTTCCACATCTTCACGTTCCCAGAGCATTCCGCAGTGACACGTTACCTGAACATTTCAATTTATTTTTAGGACCAGACCATTACAATGAACACATTGTGAGTAGTATTATAGTATTTTTATGTCTGACAGTCCACTAATAATTGGCAGATAGTCGCATATAATCCTACTAATTTACGTATAACTATGGCCAACAACTTTGGGATTAGAAACCGCCATTAGGCAGGCACCTTCTTTCTCGGGGTACTGATAGTCAACTTTCCATTTTATAAAATGTGAATTCCTTTTTCCAATGTAACGACACTATTAAACCACAGTTGTTACGTGCTATAATAGCCAACATAGAGGGAAACGCTCACGAGTACATTAAATACCACGAATTTGAAACTTGGGATCAATTAAAAAATCACCTTAAAACAATATATCAAAGTTCTCATTCCATTAATTATCTTCAGAACAATTGACGGGTATGAAACAATGCCATGATGAAAGTATACAAAATTTTTCTAATCGCATACAACAAATATATCATCAACTTACAAGCGCTTAACCGTAGGCAAAACGTAACCGAATCGCGAACAATAGCCGAGACCATGCTGACTACGCACTTGTTGTCATGGAAGGAATCACCTCATACGCCTTTATTTTAGAAGCACGCAATATTTCGTCTTATGAGTGAGGCAGGAATTGCCACCGAAAAAAAACGTATGGCGGAAAACATCAAAAATAATCGTCCATTTATTAAAATCAGCAAGCAATAAAGCGCTACATCGTGGCCAATGTGGTAAATGGGGCATTATTAATGAATGTAGGTCAGTATCAGGAATCATCGGTTTTAGGAACCATAAATAATCGACGGAGATTAAAGCGGAAAAGTCACGTACTTTAGTATTGTAAACGTCCTAATCACGATATCTCCGAGTTGGAAGCGATTATAATGAAAATAAAGAAAAACAACAAGAGCAGGGCGATAACCAAAATAAACGGTAGTCAATTAAAACATGGCAGCTGGCTGCACCGAACGAAGTATACTGGA